TAACCTTACGCTGATTGGCAGGCATTGTGTGTACGCCATGGATACGATTAGACGAAGATTAACAGAAATTTTCAATAAAATTTGTTAAAATAAAATATTTTAATGCTTCGAGAAACTATCTTGAAATTCAAAGCAAATATTATGCCAAAACAGGAAGACGTATCGACTCGTATTGTTGTTTCATCAAATACATTCACGTATTATATTATTTTAGAATGTCGAACTAAAAAGTTATCATTATTACACGTAGAGGTTTACATGCCTCATTCTTGATTAAGCCTGTGTCTATAAATAAATATTAGGCTGTTCAACTGCCCAAACTTTCCGTCTCAGGTTGGCATATCTGCCAAAGATTGCAATCACGATTATCCCCTAACCTAACTATGCAGTCCAACTTCCGGCTGATAAACTTTATACTAACGCACCTCTGTAGGGTTAGTATCGCAGCCAGCCGGCCCTGCGCCGTCCTCGTTAGTGGTCATAATTGAATCGAAGTATATTAATATGTTGCCAAAATAACGTTCGCCGCAGCAGTACCTGAAGTAAGTTATTCTGCACCATTAATTTTGGTTTCGGTAGTCTAGATTATTGCTTTTTTAGCACGCCAATTTCGGTTACGTGTTCAAATAAGTATTATCTATGGAAATGAATTCTGCACATGTTTACATCAAATTTTGTCAAAAATGACTAAATTCATTCACTTCATTTTTAACTATACTCGAGTATAAAAATTACGGACGCACATTGGTGTAATTTATGCGATTACAGCCAAAAAACTGCACGACAATTATTCTAGTACATTCAGTGGCGTGGTCCCGCGTGTTAGCTCGGTCAGTACGAAACAAAAAATACGCCTATAGGTCGGCTAGAATGAGTGAGGTGTATGTTTCTCTTGCGGGAACAATTTGTCACTGTCTCCACCAATTTCCTCTTGTAACTAGTTTTTTCTTCGCGCCACGTAAATTTAATTTCAGATATTTGCGGTTGTAACCCGCCGGTGCGAGAACTATTTTCTTTGCACGATTTTTCTGCTGAACATGTGTGTAATAGACTCTGACATACAAGTTGTTTGTGCCGTTATCTTACGATAAGCTCCGAGTTTAGAGCTTCAAAGAGCGTCGACGTATTATTGTAACTAGCATGTTACAAGATTGCAGGAACGTGGGACAGAGAGCGTGAAAAAGGCCAGGCCCTTATTTCACGCCGGTTGCCTCTCCGCAGCCGTCGTCATCCCTTTCAAAACCGTATAAAAGTCATATAACAGAAACAAGATTGCGTTCTACATTCCACCGGAACATTTTACTTATTTAAAGGTATACAAGATTCTAATAAGATTCTAATATGACAAACCGATTACGGTCGACATCGTCGGTGATTGCCATTGACTTACAAATAAATGGACGACGGGTCTAATACAAAAACCACGAAAAAAATGTCCCAAGTCAACCTATTCAAAATTTAAATTGTAATGTCATCGCAGTATCGCGCTGTCAGTAGAACAAATGAAGACTAAAGCGGAGTGTCGCGCTCTGTATACGATTTTAGCGCCTTACAAGTGCGGACACTTTTTAGCGCGGACCCGACGTCCATATAATTGTAAGTCAATGGTGATTGCATTATTATCTGTTTATATAGGTGTTCGGTCAATATAATTAATAATATTAAGTCGAGGATCGCACTCGACGACCTGGCAATAAATGTTTGTGAAGAAAAAAGAAACACTTCGACATACGTCATGTTTTTGCAACTTGTTAACCCTATATTTCTGAAAAGTTTAGTTGACAGCCAAGCGTTATAATTAAAACACGCCTACACGCCTGTGGGCTATATTTGTATAAAATTAAACAACATCATTTCTGCTATAAACTCGTTGTCGATAGTGTCATAATAATTGTGGATAGCATTGCCAAAATGTAAGCGACATCCGAATGGTCCTCGGGAATAACATTTATCGTAGTTAAGCACCGCCTCGTTCAAGTGGCACCAAGCCAAGAACCCAGGAAAATAATATAAAATCCTACTTCGAATCTTTTCTTTGATTTGTAACGGAAAGTTCGCAGCGTAATTAAATTTAAAAGAATGTGTTTGACTTGGTAACTACCGCGGACAGATTGAATAACGAATCTTGTGGTAGTTTGCATAAAATGACAAATCAGTGTTGAGTTAAAGCGATCGTTTTAAATCTTGATTATTTAAGTTTCTTGGCTTACCTTTCTTTTCTTTTTAAGAAGTTCCAAATAAACTGTTGCTGCCACAGTCGTCAAGTTTGGAATTTATTTAATTTGTTTTATTACCAGCATTGGGCGTTTTATTGCTGTCATGCACATAATTAACTTTTTGCTGCGAATGATACGCGACTGGTTCATGGTAATGTAAACAATACACGAATTCAGTTTATAAATTGGGTTTTTATTTCAGTTGAATAAATCTTTGTTGTAATTTTGGCATTTTTTTTAACAAGTATACAAAAATGACGTTGGGTAGGTGAAGGGGTAAAAAGAAAAATTGCTTTTCGCGCCTACCCATCTATCTAATAAACCTAATATTGGTTCGATACGCGCTCAAGAGCCGTGAAATTACGCCCCTTCTCCTCCCAAAGCTCATGTAGCTACTGGCGGAGGCGTTCGCCGCCCGAGATTGACCTCAACTTTTTATTCGTCGGCGAAAGCACTGTGTGACCAGTGTGCTGCGTCTTCGGAACCCTATTTAAATGGTTGACGGGATTGTATTGTAGTAATTTCATCACGAAATTCCTAACTCCGCTTTAGTAGGGCTGTGGATACTAGACTCAACGTGGTTTTAATAGTGTGAGGCAATTACCACAAAATACTTGTACCTGGACGGATAGATTTCATCTTTGTAATCTGAACCCCAAAAATGAAGTTAGTTTTAATCTAAATATTTAAACTTCAAAAATAAAAATAAGCACCATTCTTTTCTAAAGCAAGTTTCTTCTAGAGAACGCGTAAATTTGTTAAAATTTACGCGTTCTCTAGAAGAAAATAAAAATGTTATAATTGGTTTTATAACGTTTCAAAGATTTTAAAAAAGTTTTTTCAACAACCGCTTTGAACCGTCTTGTTATTAACGACAAAAAAAATTATTTCCTCACTCGAATGTTATTGTTGCCGAAGACTTTTTAGTCTCGACCCTTTGACACTTGGACAGCTACGTGCTGTAAAACTGTTATAGACAGTAACGGTGTTATTTCGGTCTGTGGGTATTACATTAACAGTTCGAAGTAATACCACTAATTGTATAAGGAAACGCGTAAATTTACCGATAACTTATTGGGGAATAAAATACTTGAATTCCGAAAATGTTTCTGTAGAGAGCATCATCTGAAGTCCACTTGAGAGTCAAGTATAACTCAAGATCAAAAGACTCCAGAATTCCATCTCAGGAGTGAATGAATTTAAAAATTGGTCTTTATTTAGAGTTTAGTAGTGAGGCGCCCAGTATGTACACGAAATTTACATAATTCAGCTAAGAGCAAGGCAATATCGAGGCGATAGAATTTAAAACGTAGCGGCGCGAAAGCGGCGGCGCATTAACGGCCTGGTAATAGGTTTTCGCTTTATTTGGACGATGAGTGCAAATGCTGTGTGCGCGATTAATATTGCGTTGTTGAAATTAGCTCAGCAAGTCTTGACTCATAGAAAAGTACTGGTTGTGTACACTTGGGTCCCAAAGGCATATTATATGATGCTATTCTTTTAAACGATTTGTTTTTAAGGTGGTTTTCTACAGGCGAGGCGAGACGAGGCAAGGCGAGGCGAGACGAGAATCCAAACCTCGCCGACATATTTCCACTAAAAAATGCTATTAATAGCGTGAGAGATCGTGCTCTAGCGAGCTCGCGCGAGAAATCGTTTTTTCGTTGCAGAGTATAATACTCAATATTAGATCAACAAATATTTAAATTTTCGCCTCGCCCATCGTCGTTAATCCAAACAGTTTGCACCGAAGATGAGCTAGGAGAGTTTGAAATTTTGCCGTATAAATTTTAATCCTCGTCTCGCTTCGTCTCGTCTCGCCTCTTCTCGTCTCGCCTGGCCGATAGAAAAACACCTTTAAGGTCTATAGATTACCAATGTTACAACATCCATTTGTTTTTATTAACGGTCTGCGACAATTTAAGTAATTGTCAGCATGAAGCAACAGCGTTGTTATTTTTTAATCTGCGCGGCATTCTCAAGGACTAATCAGTTAATGAGCGCGACACGTACGTGCTAACGAGCTTAATTAGACTGTGATTTATGTCTGGAACAGTTTTGTCGTCACCCACAGACGAAGTGAAAAATTTTGTTTCAAATTGACTTATGAAATTAAAATAAGACGATAATATTAATAATATGTGTATTGAGAATAGAAATTATTGGAAAACTCAATTAATAATAATAATAATAATAATAATAATCTTTATTTATCTTAAAACATGGTTTTTTAAACAATAGGGGTTGGAGCCTCCTTTTAAGCATAGCCTGTGTCAGACTCCGCTCTTTCTTACCTACACGTTTCAAAACAACCAGTATATACATAATTAACTAACTTAACAAAGTAAAAGAATAGTACTTATTAATATTACTAACTAGGTATATAAACTTCCTTACAATATATATATTATATATATTTTTATAATAATATATATTTTTCAAGCCCTTTTCTACGGTGAAATTCAATAAACAGATTTAAGAGTGTAACTTAGAAAACAGTTTATTACGGCTTTGAAAACTGTGTAAAAAGTACACTACTATGAGTTACATAATTCAATTTACATACTTATTGGTTTTCCCCTCAGCTTCCTCGATATGTAGTATTTTAAAAGAAATCTACAGCAATTGCAATGTAATAAACCAACGCAAGTAAGGATACTTTAAAGGAGTGTTTTAAGCTGCATTTAATATGTACCTGAGACACATATATTAAGTGCAAGTTACAACCTCACTTGTTATTCATATCCCGTTATAAGATTTTTGCATCATTTGTGATTTACTTACTGTGATCGAAAGTTCTGGGGTCGACTGTAGTAGTGGTCATGGGTGTAGTATGGTCCTCTTCGTCTTCGTCTGGTTCGGGTGTGGTCGTTGTAGTTGTGGTAGTGCGACGACGGTTGCGTTGACGGCGCTCGGGGCGGGGGCGCGGTGAGGGAGGCGGCGCACGCGCAGGCGTCGGCGGCGCCTGAGTTACCTCCGTATCACGCCCAACGCCGCTCTCCGCCACCGCTAGCGCCACCAGTGACATGGCTGTCAGCCTTATCACTAGTGGCGCTAAACGCCACATTTTGCCTACGAACAACAAACAATTCACAGTGTTATTTTTCGGTTTTAATTAACTAATATTTCAGGCCTAATAAAAATTTTCTTTGTATATTTCAATTTAATCTTGTGTAGAATGCAGCACATTTAGCATGAAAATATTACGAGGAATCAAAAAAATGTAACCAAAGAATCATCTGTACTTGTTACAAATAATGTGCATAAAATTATTAAAATTCGGATAGCCAGAATTTTTAGTTCCGTACACTATTACATTTCCGTTCATTTAATGAGAAACCGAATCTGAGGAATAATTTAGTAAATTTGACAACATTCAAACTTTAACTTCGGTAATAATTGGCGTAGCAAGTACTACGACGTAGAGTGTCGTAGCACTTTGTTCTTCTACTTCTAAGTCATTAAGGCGCGAACAGGAATATAATAATGTAACACATTTAGCAACTATAAAGGAATTTATACGCCATTACTATGTACCCGACAATAGTCGTATGACGTCATATGGGTCCGGCGTCACGTATACTTTGTAATCACATGATATCGTGCTATTAGACAAGTTTGTTTACTGACCACCGAGTATGAAAACACATTAATATTGTGGTTTATATCACAGCTATTGTTGAGAGAAATAGGTACGCAACACGGAGAAACTACCGTGAATTGTTGTGCCGACCGTCAGCGAGTCTTATAAAAATTGTCTCTTGTTTAAAAGGGTCTCCTGTATTGCGATGAACCTTGATTATAATACCTTTGCCCTGTTGTTACACTCGCGTTTTATGGTGCGGTTCTGGGCAGAAAGTTTCTGTTTGTCCCTGTTATATTTTGATTCGCAAATTCTAATTAAACGAAAAGTATATGTGTTATTCGAGACAGTGTACAACGTTTAATTTAGCACAAATACTATTTTACTATTTATGAAATTTAGAAACGTGATTAACTTTTTAATTATAACAAACACAATGGTAATTGTAGACGCGGCTAACTTTTGTAAAGCATTAGGTTCGTATCTCAATGTGTTGGTACGTACTTGTTGAGAAGAAATATGAAAAGTCTGTTATTTATTTCCTCAATTTCGCTTTACGTTAATGTAATCAGAATTATTTGTAGAGTAAACCCTCCATAGAGGTAATCTTCAGACGGGCCATAGTCATTGTTATCGCAGATCACGCCGAAGTGCTTCCGAACATTCGATGTTTCCAATTTACTCAGAGCGCCGAATGAGAGGAAATTAAATGAAGTATTTTCCTCAAAGCAAACAACAATCTAACGTTGGGTATTAATGTATATTTAGCAAGAAATTCGACGGCGATTCCGTCTATCGAGTTCCGCACGCAAGATTAGTGTCGCGCTAACTTTAATTAAATTCATTTTGTCCGTGACTAAACGGGGACAGGCGACGCGACGTCTTAGACGCGACTTGCGTGACGAGACGAAATCTTACTCGTTCGCACAATTAAGTTCCGTTCGATAGTAAAACAAATAAGTGAAAATCTAATCTTTTACACACAAAATCTTTACATTCAACTGCGACTGGCATTTGTTTCACCACGATATTGTGTGCTCACAATGCTTAAGAAAATAATGTGTTTTCTGGATGAATTTTTCATCATAGATTACAATTTTTAAAGTATTTATATTGCAAAAGAATACACAGGCTTACTATACAAACACATTGTATTTTTCTTTGCCGTGGAAAGGTTTTCGTGCCTCCGTGGTCGAGTGGCTTGCACACCGGTTTTCATGGCATTTCTATCCCCGGCCGGGTCAGTGTAGAAAACTAACTTTTCTACATTGTCTTGGGTCTGAGTGTTTGTGGTACCGTCGTTGTTTTCGATTTCCATAACACAAGTGCTTTAGCTACTTACTTTGGGATCAGAGCAACGTATGTGATGCTAACTAATGCGCACGTATACTAACGCACGTACATATATTATACTTTGCTTGATATAATATTTGCTTAGTGTAGAGATTTAAGCTTCCACATCAAATTTAGAACCTATTTTGTTGCAGAAACAGTAAACGGACAGCAAACAATAATAACTTTGACAGTCATAACCTCCGCTTCTCAGAACAACAGAGCTCCATTTAGTTTGTTGTTGTGAGAAGGCTAACGAAACTTTGACACTTATTCCAGCTATCGATATGTTGCACCTTCAATTAATTGCAATAAATTTATTATTTATTTTCTTACGAGATGAAGCTAGACACGTGGGGAACACATGGTAGAACATTACTGGAACAGGCCACTTGTAAAAGAAACAAAAAATTAAATACGATATTGGTAAAAGGTACTCTCTGTGAGTAGGTTACTTTTTATTTTATGAGAAATTGCCTCACGGTTTGTGCAACAATGTTTTTCACGTACTTGTTTTGTGGTTCAAAGCACTATTCATTGCTCTATACTTAATAAATAAACTAAACAAGATCTAAACAAAAATAAACTTTGTAAATAGAGCTTTACCTACACCATTACTATATGATGTTATGTATGTATATATTTATTTATAGTGGCCACTTCAACTTGTTCAACAATACTAGCCTAGTCTTTTCATAGTGTGTTTAGTATGATTTTGTTGTACATAAACCATATTTAAATAAATCTACCTCGCGTTTTGCGCTTTTCCATTTAAAGCCAATAAACTCGAGTTGCACCCGTGTCGCTGGACCATGTACACTAAATAAACACAATGTTTTGTTATTGGTGAATTTCGTTGAATAACACACTCATATGTACCGTTCATATTTTTTTAAATTCCCTTTTTTTGTGACACCAAGTGAGAGGACGAACAAGTTGTGCCAACCGTGACCATGGGACCTGTAAAGGGCCCGAAACGTCGGTTTGTTTGAAAAAACAAATATACGCGATTTAAATCCGGAAAAATAGTTTCATTTCCTATGTGTAACAATCGCGAAAACCTAAGAACTCGATAAAAAAATAATATTACTCATTATGACTGGATGTACACACGCTAGCACATCAAGCTACATATTGACGTATCTTGTTCCGTTGCTAAGGAGACGATTTTCGAACAAAAATGTGTAGTCTGATGTGCCGTTGTCCGTACTTAAATATAACGTATGACAAATTAAAGACAAATTAAAATAAAACTACTTTAAGTTCACCACAAGTTAATAAAAAGCCATTTTACATTTTTATTTTAGTAAAATTGACTTTGCGGTTGTTCGCTTTTAATGTTTACACTATTATTCCGGGGAAAAGGTATAGTTACTTAAAAATGTATTACAATATTACTCTGATTTACTATGGATATTAAGATTTGTTAATTCGAATATTTGTAGTTTCATGGTTATTCTAAGAATTGATCACAAATTTTAAAAAGTAAATTAAGACAAAATGTGTCTCACGTAAATAACACTTTGTTATTGACCACTCGCAAATGGTAAGCAAATAATAATAGCTTTTAGGTATTCATTCTGTTGTTTGGTAAAAATCAGGACAAAAAAATAATCAGTAATAAAATCATACAAAAAGTTTCGTACCATAGTCAAACTCCAACATCCGGCGGTGTGTTTTAAAGATTCTCACAAACATTATTGCTAACAAGTTTGTTATAAATATGCAAGAGTAGATGGTGTGCCAAATAGGTGTTTGCTATATTCATGCGAGATTGTTGAATTTATTTTTCGTAGAATAATAAAACAAACATTGGAGTATCGAATAATTACAAAATTCATTGGAAAATAAATTAAAGAAAAATATGAGGTTTATTTTAAGAGGGAAAATCCAAAAAAAAAAAACAAATAAGTCGGTAAAAGTTATTACACGTTTATACAGTGGGGCCATCATCGATGATAAAGACATCAACTGAAAACGTGTCTATTTACGAAGATTATTTATAAACATTACTGGTGTTCGAACGTCCAAACTTGATTGTTCGGGTAGTACAACCATAGATATAGGAAAGTACAACTCAAAGTTTGTCATCTGAAATTGTGACTATATCTTTTTATAATTTGAAATTTTACAATGGAACGATGGCGTAAAAGAATTAAATTGATGATTGTAAAATAAAATTGCGTAACTTATTAGTTACTCAATGCTAATAAAATATTGTTGATTTTTTACTTGGTAACATCAAATGGTAAATTTAAGTATTAATGTTTGTTATATTTGTTACTTTCTATTTTTATATAAAAGTATGTAATAAATCAAAAGTGAAATAAGAAATGTGTATAATAGTCGTATGCTAAGTTTTGGTGAAAGGTACGATCTTATATAAGATACTATAATACTTTCATTGATAACTACATTTTTCAGCGAATAAATATCTTCTATTCTTGTCTAAAGCTCGAACCACATCTAAAACTTTTCTAATTGATACGTTCTGATGTGGTATGTACCCACATATTCCTTGGGAAAAAACTGTAAGCCTTGCCCTAGTGGCGTTGTCGACGCGGTGAGAGCTTTCATGAACTTATTCTTGCCTGCCGTGCCAGTACCCCTTTACTCGATTTATGACGTTCTCGTGCATTTGAATAAGTTTACCATAAAAATAGGCGTTGCGGCCAGAAACTTTGCCAATAAAATGCAAATGGTGACATTGATGTCGCCTCTACATTATGGATACGGAGTTTGTAGATATAGCCAAGGAGAATTGAACGCAGAACTTCCAGGTGAGTTTCCAGTTTTTCCGTTGCATTTCTTTTTCATTTTACCTGTAAGTGGATGTGCATAAAATATCTATTCATAGAAGTGCATATTGTTCAGACCGTCTGTTGCGCGGGGAGTTAGGTATGCCGTAGTTTGGTGTTCTATGAAAGTATATAGTAGATTTCTACTATTTCTAGGGTCTTTGTTTCTAAATTGTCTTGAAAACATTGCATCAAGTTCTTTGCCAAGGCCCTATCGTAACCTAGACTGTCTTTATAAGTTGCTAGATCGCGTAAATTCTTAATTTCCTATTACTTAAACTTCTTTTTTTTAAGGAGCATGCTTTTTTGGAAGTTCAACTTATGTTGTAAAAACATTAGACTTAACAATACAAC